TCCAATACCAGCCAACACACACACACTGCGTCACTATTCAACAGCCCCTCTCATTGTGTTAGTTTCAGCTTCCATTCGGGTGCTTTATCTTTTGTTTACTGGTGGGTTTTATTCTCAGCGGCTTGGGAAAGCAAAGTGTTGGCAGAAGCTCGGTTTGATCTGCAGTCGGGGTTGAAAAGCGCCACTGGGGGAAAAAACAAGGGCATTTTGGAAATATAAAAACACTGCCATGTAATTACAATGAAAATACATAAATATGAGTCCCCCTGACAGCGAGGGAAAGTGCCAGTGTCAGCATTGTGATGGTAAACAGTCGGAGCGGCAGCGTTTGTGTGACTCAGTCGGGGTCACCTCTATGCCTGAGTTTCAACTGGGAAATAAAAAAGTCCGGAAACTTCCTGACAATCCAAGTGGCCCTTTCAGGCCGCGAGTCTGCTCGCAGCAGGCTGGTGGTGATTCAGCTTTTAACACCACGAGACAATTTTGATGGTTAGGAAAAAAATAACTTACTTATTGGCCATATTTCATGAATTTCCTTTGGAAAACCTTTGATTTTAAATGAGAATGGGGCGGGGTGACAATTCTACAAAGGAATAAATATTACCATTTAACATAACAACAACTAATCAAGACATGACATACATTATCAGACAGATAGATATTCCAAAATTCAGCTGGAGTTGTGGACTGATGGATGAAAAGCTGAAACAGTTGCGTACTTGTACTTCTACTTTTTTTTTTCTTTCTTTATTAAAGAAGGAAAACATATGTTGGAGTAACGTCTGGTTTAATATAATGGGTGGTTTTGATTCTTGACATTTTAATTTGATTATATTTCAACAATTTAGTCAACATTCTGGAATGGTTAAGCTATTCTAATTTTAAAAAATGTACTGTTCCGATTGTACATAATGACCAAGCATTATGAAATTGATTAGATATTGTCTTAGTAAATGAAATACAAATCAACCGAAGGTCAAACTGACCTACTTCTGCCATCCCCCATCACAGAAAAAGACAAATCAAGTCTTGGCACAAAGTGTGTGGTGATAGAGAGTTCATGCAAGACATCAAGAACAGGCCGCTTTACCAGCATACAGAATTTAACAGACACGTAATAGCACATAATAGCTCAAAACGGCATTTAGGGAAAAAAGAAAGCTGCAAACCGGGGGGAGAGGGGAACTCAATTATTGAGAGTGCCGCCATTTAGGGTCAACATTTATTTTGTTACTGTGTGTAGTCCAAAATATCCACTCAACTGCAAGTCAGAACCGCTATGTGCAACATAAAAACAATCCATTACACACACATGCGTACTCACACACACACGTATGTGTGCCCAGAAAACAACAACCTCTCAAAAATCATGCTTATCTCAACACACGCAGGCTTCCTCTCACTGGCATTCACTCAGTCTCTCGCTCTCTCTCTCTGTCAAACATATACACACTGATGTACACACAGGACGCACACAAGCCTATGTTTCATCCCATAATTCATGGAGGCAGAAGTCTCTCATCCTCTACCAACCATTCTTTCTCTATGTCTCACGAGCAATGCTCCCTCCTCTGTCCCAGCGATGCCTCCAAAATCTCCCTGTTTCTCTGGAACACATCGAGCAAATCACAGCCACAGCACGTGACTGCATCCCCTCAATTCTCTGACCTCGTCTCAGTCCAGTGGCTTATTTCTCTTAAAATAACTTAGTTTAATAATCTAGTTGAAATAAGGAAGCCCCATTAGCCAAAACGAGGCAAAGCTAACTTACAAATTCAAAATATGTCTTGAATGAGGTTAAATGATGGTACGTAGTGACGAAGTAATATCTTAAATTGGTTAAACCATCTCTATCCACTCAGGGTCGCTAAAGCGGATTCACAAATTTGTTCTTTATTCTAATATCCTTGTGCACAGCAGCAGGCTTAGTGAGGCCTGTGGTCCAGAGGGGAACAGAGCATGAGAAGCATGGCCTTTGAAACCGGGCCTCAACTATCACAGGGATAAGACAACAGATTAGTGACATAATAAATGATCTTGCAGAGCATTTTGGTGTCTTTGAACAACAGCAAGATAGAGTTAGACAGAAACCACTGATACATTAGATTTATCGTACAAGGAATATTATAGGATAGCTTTGATGCTGCGTCATACATGTGTGACTCCGATCCTCCGGCCTGGAACACAGTCTAATGCTGGGCTACACTGCCCCTTAGTGGTCAGATGAAGTATTACATCCACTGTGAATCAATCCGAGACTGTGCGTTTAGGTCGTGGTTAGGAGAAAAGCCTTGCTCAAAGGCTGTTATTATACATGTAATCAATCTCAAATCGACCAAAAATATTTTTAAAAATGAAATAAGAACAAATCTGCCATATGAAACGCTGTTCTGAAAGTTCTGAAATGTGGATCTGTGTTGTAAATGTATTGTACCGGACTGTAATCCGATAGCGCCACCTCCAGGTACACACAAGTACTATAATTTATCCAAAATACTAAAAACTTTATATCAATTTGAATTGATTTTGATATGAAGTACTCCTGTTAACTGAATAGTTTAAGGAGGTTATGTAAAGCAGGAGCGCTGTGAGGAGCTGGGCTGGTCGGGAATAAATAAAAGTATTAATTGGAGGAAAGGGCAACTAAAAGGAAGCATGATAGCCTATATGGTCAAAGCATTCAGATTCAGAATCCAGTTCAATTTGTTTGAGGCGCTGATGTGTGGAGCTGGGAGTCACATTGTACAAGTGTTTTTTAATTAGTGTTTGATAAGTTTCACTTTATTAAGGTTAAACAAATAAGTTAGGGTTAGGTAGGATATACATTAATATAACAAAATAAACATAAAATAATAGTTTGAATGATCATACACAGAGTAAGTTGGCTCCTACTCACCTCCTCGCTTGTCATAAGGAATCTTAGTTAGCGCGAGCTAGCTCCTCCATGACGTCACACTAGGATTGTCACTAAGCCTTCCCAAACTGAGCTCAAGTATATTATTTTAGGCTTCATTTTATCTAAAACATTTACACCATTAAGACTCAACGGTTATCTCCATTTTGAAAACATTATTTGATTCCTAAACAAATCCTTTACTGAAACAAAAGAAATACCCTCATGCTGCATTGTTGTGAAATAAATCAGGTTTGTGTCGTTGGTTTTCTTCCCAAAGTGCTACCGGTTGTACCCAGAGCGGTGTAAAGAGAGGGTCGCGTCACTTTAAAACTCCTGGTAGTCACGTGATTCAAATTGAGGAAGTATACCTGCAATGCACATGGGGTGTAGTGAAAATTGGAACTAACCATACAGTATAGTGTACAAACAGAAAGACAGAATTTTTAAATTTATAGTGAATAAAATAATCGACTCAAAATATTAGCTTACCCTGAGCAAACAAATGTTAGTGTTTTACAACTCCAAAACTAAATCCTTACCTGTAAAAAAAAATAAAAATAAAAAAACGCAATCGTTGTTACATGTTATACTACCCATTGCATGTGAACATTCTGACCACTGCAAAATCTCTAAAAGCAAGTATATATATATTATTATTGACCGTGTTTGGTGAAACCCTTTCTGGCGAGGCTGACCTCACCAGAGAAGCGATATTCACTTGATTCTAGTAAACGAGCCTGGACTGGAGCTGGCTATATATCTGGAATTGACTTTTTGCAGGTGAATTTGGCATAAATGAAAAGGACCACTGTGAACCAGCAAGGAGCGAGTGAACATTAATATAGATTGTTACGTTCCAGCTCCCAAAAGTGAGGGGAACATGGCAACCCACTGCTCGGGCCCACCGATGCCAGCAAATAGGGTATGGAGTAAACGCTTATATCTAAACACAAAAATAAATATACATAAATAAACAATAACTTTCTGGGAAAAGGGGTGGGCTGGACGGACCAAAACAAAGAAATAAACAAAAGGTCCCCACCCCTAACCTGTACTAACCAATAGAAAATACACTCTTCCTGGCACACGGTCAAGGCGCCCTAACCAAACGTACAGGTGGTGGTCCGCCCAGGTCTAAACTGGTGTTTATAGACAGAGAAGTGATGGATTCCCCCGGGTTGCTCTAAATCTACTCCCCACTCCCTGTGAACAAAAGAGGAAACAAATAATTAGTTGAAAGGACACAAACAAACAATTGCTCTCTCCTGCTGCTACACGTTCCAAAAGGAACACAAGTCAAGTTATTTAACACAAACTATCGAAATCTCCCCACACAGGGTACAAACCAAAGACCAAGTCACAGCATATGCAGCGAGAGGGAACTGGTCCAAAACTGGGCTTTTCAAAGAGCCCAGCCAGTTGCGACCACTGACGAGGGGGTGGAGCTACGGGTCCCAATCCTACCTGGAAAACAAACACACACACGCGCGCAACTACAAGCAATCCCCGAATCGGAATCATTATACGATCCCAGAACTCTGGGGACGTAACATAGCTGAAAAGAATTAACCGATGGTTGAGGCATAAATAAGAATGATGCATGTGACGCAGATATCAGACCATTGAAATTGCTGAGCAGCACCTTAGGGGATATTCCTGATTATGCTTTAGACACCATATTAATGTGTGATGCTCACTAAAACCTCCGCTTACCTCTTCTGGTTGCATAAAAAAAACATTTAAGATGTGTCAGTTTATTTTGTGGCAGATGCTGAGCTCTTTGGAGACGGGTTTATCAAATGTTTTACGCAAGATGTCATATGTTCCTTTTGTATCACTGCAACAATAATTGGTGTCTCATGTCCTGCCTGAGTAATTGTGTGTGCATGAATAACAAGCTTTCATGTTTTTTTCTTGAGACAATTCCCATTTAATTAAGTCTGCCATAAAGTATTCACTCCATATTGTCCTTAGCCTGTGCTTTTCTTTCAGGTCACAATGAGCGGTTCCATTGAGTGTTACATAACCCGCTGGCAGCAAAGCCGCGCGCGCTGTCTGCTTCTTTCACACGGCAGGTAACGCCGACACATTCACACTGCCGTGATTTGACAGAAATACCCCACTTTTTTTTTTACTCTTCCTCAAATCGTCTTAATAGATGATTTGTCAATTCGTCGTCGTCGTTGTTGTTGTTGTTGACGCACTCGCGCGGATAGATACTCGCCCCTCACCGCCCCTCCCTCCCTCTCTGCTAGCAGCCCGGATGGTGCTGTCATTAACCAGAGAATAAATTCCCCTTTAACGGTGGTATTTGTGTGTTAATGGTTATTATGGTTGATTTTATAAGCACATAAGGTCACACATGAAACATCTGTTGTTCTGTGGTCCGCGGGCGACACAGTGCGGCAGCGATGCGCACGGTGTGACGGCTAGACGGATCCAGAGGAGGAGTGTGGGGGGGGGGGGGGGTTGGTGGGGGCTCGTTCTCTGCCGCTGTGTTCGTCGACTTTTCGCAGAGTTGTCGGTCACATTCAGGGGTGTTGCGAGTGCTCCGCTTTGGGCTCCCTGCTTCCCCTTTTCCCACCGCCTTTTTGTGGGATGCGACGTCACTGAGTCGGTCTCAGCCTGACGGACGTCGCCGTGTTGTAGCCGCACGGGCACAGTCTCTCTCCGCGCTCTCGCTTTATTTATTTATTTTTCTGGACGGATGATTCTGTGAAAACGGTCCGTGCGATACATGCCAAGTCGTCGCTCTGCGCTCGGACGGATCGCGACGCTCGTTTAAGCCCTCGGGTTTCCCCGTAAAATGATCCCTGGATCCGCCGCATCAATGCTACCGTCTGCAGAAGCCGCGAAACTGTACCAAACCAATTACGTCCGCAACTCGCGGGTCATCGGACTTCTATGGGCCATTTTCACTATCCTGTTCGGCATCGTTAACGTCACCATCTTCTCTCAGCCCTACTGGATCGGGGATGGGATGGACACGCCGCAGGCCGGCTACTTCGGCCTCTTCCACTACTGCGTCGGGGACGGCATCGCCAGGGAACTGGCCTGCCAGGGTACCTTCACCGAGTTCGCCGCTATCCCCTCCACTGCGTTCAAGGCCGCCTCCTTCTTCGTCGGAATGTCCATGATGCTGGTGTGGGCCTGCATTGGCTGCTTCAGCCTCTTCTTCCTCCTCAGCACCTCCACCGTGTACAAGATCTGCGGTTGGATGCAGGCGTTGTCGGGTAGGTGCCGTTCAGTAGCACCTAAAGTGGGACACGGGGGGCTGGGGGGCATGGTTATGATAGCATTACACTTTTTATCCTCTCAGCTGCAATAAAGCAGGTTGTGACACAGGCTAATGTTAGTATCATTATCTTAAATATTATCTCAAGGAATCCCATCCGAAGTTTTTCTTTCTGACGCGTTTTGGAAAGCTTTGAACTGGTGGTTGATCATTTGGTTTGCAGCCAAAGAGAGAAGCTCTTTGTGCAGGATCAGACGGTGCTGTCCGTGGTGCTGAAGGGTTGCTGAGTGTGTTTCATGTTACAGCTATAGATGTAGTTTCCTCCCTTATTTTACTTCACATTTCTTAATGAAAAGCCATTATACCAGTGTAAATTATTAATATAAGTAAAGCCCCTGTAACTGAAAACATTGATTATTTTCCCTTTTAAGAGAAACAACAGGTTAATTATGCTCGCTCTATAATATACATACCAGGTGTTGGCAATGAAGGAACCAAGTCATATTACCTATATTGTATTTCTCAATGTAATTATTCAAATCAGTTACGTTTTTTTTGCAGCTTTACATCGACCTCGCACTCCTTTGCGTAATGATGGCCAATTAAAATGATTCACACTACTAGATCAGTGTACTTCACATACCAATCATGCAAATATTGGACTGGTTCTTGGTAATAACAGATACACTGGGGCTCAGTATCGGGAGAAAAAAAAAGATGAATTGTGAACATTTCTTTTTCCAGTCCTGTGTTGTGAATTTCGGTGGGTAGTGGTCCATTTGGAAAGATTAGGGAACATGCATTCGCATGCATATCAGTACAGAACCATTGGTATCTTGAGGTTTTATGTTTTATGTTTTTTTTGTATGTCATCATGAAGCTTTCTCTAAATGCATCACCGCAACTTAAGTTCACAGATGAAACCTCTGGAAAAAACTATTGTCATTCTTGGTTAAAAATTATGTTTCTGATGTTTTGAAGCTATCATTATTTTGAGACAACATTACCACATCAGATATACACTTCAATGATGATGAGACATGGTTTTGTAGCAAAGAAGAGGTATAGCTACAATAAAGCCATAATTATATTATCAGTTCTTTCTATGACTTGCAGTGCATCTGCCTGCAGCAGCTGTGTGCGGTTGTGTTTTTGTGATAGAGTCAGTCGTTTCGGGGGTGTTGAAATGCAATCGAGGTCAGTGGCTCAGCTGTTGGCGGCATTTTGTTCCCGTTACTGTGACCCGATGTCATCCAGTGCGAGCGGAGGCCTCATTCACCTGAAAGGACTCCAAACATTGCCAAACATTGCGTCTGCCCACCTGAACCCAGTGGTTGAAGCAGTCGGCTTCCTGTTGGCAAGAAAAACAAATGCGGGAGGGGTGGGGGGTGAGTATTTGGACAAGCTCCAGCTCAGTGTGCTATGTTGGGGCTGAATTAATGCAATAAGCCTGTTTAATGAGGAGGCCGCCGGGCTTTTTGCTTCTGTAGCTGAGAGATGAAAGAGGAAGCCGAGAGGAGAGACCCTGACCACAGCAAGCCGGCGCCGGGACGCCTAATGAGGGAGCATTGCTCTCAGCTGCCTTCACTCTGGATGACAGGTGGCCCAATGTCATCTGCAACGGGCCCCTTACAAGCACGCTGATATTTTTGATAATGAGGTACAAATCATTAATGTAATAGGGATAAAAGACAGGAATAAATTGTGTATGTGTGTGTGTTTGGGTGCCAGAGAAAGAGAAACCACTTTAATTAGCAACACAGGATGATGCCACATCTCCTCTCAAGCCAATGAACACCAATGTTGTTTCCTCATAGAAAGGCAACTTTTTTTCCAAATGGTTCTTTCTCTGTCTTTATTGAAAAATTGGTAAATGAAAAACAGCATATGACAACACCATGCCTGACTGAATAAAGGGCTTTACACTGACTCAATATCAAGGTCATATCTGTTGGAACGTACAGTATAGGGATGCACCAATTTGTACAGATAAACCGATTTGAGACCCAGTTTATTTTATAAGCAGTAGGCCTCACTCACTCCGGATCATTCCTTTGGGTCCGTTTTACCAAAAGAATGATCCGTTTTAATCGTTTTACAAATAAATACATACTGGGAATGAATTTAAAGTTTAAAGTTTTTTTATGAAGAAATAAAATGGAGTGTAATTCATATAGTATATAAATACAATTCAATTTAATCCACGGCCCTACTGTCTCCAATACCCCATCCGGCCCTATATCCGATATTGGCATTTGTGCATGCGTAGCCCAAAATATATAATTTAAATGACGCTACACTAAGCAGCAGCTTACACAAATCCCCTTGGGCTGAGCACAGAGGGTTGCATATAAGCACATGACACCATATACGGTATTCAAACTGTGTCAAAAAGCACCTATCCCCAGAATCTGCCCGTGAGAGCAAGTAGCCATCTCCAAGAAAAGGTGTTCAGGTGAAAAGAAAAGGCTGAATCTTTGATGAGAACACAAAGCACCAGAAAAACCTTTGAACTCTTGCAATGTTTTCCTCAACCAAAGAAAGAAGAGTCCGACAATGCTCCAGTGTCCATCCTGCCTCAGATGGAATTGTATGTTTCTTTTACCTAAACAGAGTTATTTCTGTCTGTGCATCTGCTCTGTCCATGAAATGTGAGTGTGAGTTCTTTCCCGTCGAGTGAGTGAGTAGCTGGAGAGAATATTTTGCATCTAACAATGATCAAAAAAGTAAAAACTGTATTTTGGTCGATCAGCTAATTCATTTATTATTTGGTTTAGATCCAAACCAGAATATAATATATAACTTGTAACTTATCACTGATCCTGGGAATTGAACAGCTGCACACATTCAGCATTTAAACTAAGGCTTTAAACATTTAAAGTATAAAAAAGGCACTTGTGGCTGTTTTTCCCTTTGTGAATATGTACGTGTGTCTACCAGTATTGTAAGACAGCAAATAGGGCATTTAGTTTTATTCGAAAAAGGTGGGTAACGGAAAATAAGAGACCAACACAACAACCTTAAACCTGTATTGGCGAACAGTGGGGAGCTAAAGGGAAAAACAGAGATGAAAATAGAGATAAAAACAACTGAGATAACATATGAGACAGGTAGAAACATGTAGAAAGAGAGACGGAGTACAGATGAGAGAAGACACGCTGATCCTGTAGGTCACCTCCTTCTTTCTCACTGTGTTTCCATGTCCGTTGTTCTCTGGAAGGCCCCTGTGGTCCATTGAGAGGCTTGATGAGAGCGGAGCGTTAGCCCAGTTGAAGGCAGAGGAGGAAAATGGTGGAGCTCAGTACAAGAGCTGCTGTCAGAGCTGCACTTCTCCCTGCAGCAGGTTCCCAGAAGCAAAGTGTGATCCAGGTTTCCAGAGTTAATGCTGCAAGTGAGCACTTGGTATGGAAACCTACCCGACCTTCCTAGGCGAGTGCTTGTCTGGGGAAAAGGGTGATTGTGTTACTTCTGGGCCTTGTTTGTGTATGTTTTCACGCTACAGTGCGACATTCAATTATTTCGCTTCCTTTGTCTGAGTGCTACGTGACCATCCGTGCCTGGGGCTTAATTCACTTTTTTGACAACAAAGCTTCTTTGTTGAAATACAACTTCCTCAAGTTGGCAATTACAAAAACGAATTATTCTATCGCAAAGATTAGCATACAAATTAAACACATTTCCAATAAAATGCAGAAAATAATGGACTTCAATTTGTTGAAGCACTGTTAAACCTTGTCCATAATTGCTATAATCCCAAAATTGGAAACAAACAAAATGTTATGAGACGTTCTATATTAACTAGGAGCTTGATGGGACACTTTTTTAACCACTTCTGCAGCTTTTTTGTCATTCATCCTTACATGAGTTTTTGCCTCTTATCTGCATTGAGTTTACTCACCTGAACTCAGCGTGACTGAACATAGCTGAGCCTCGACCGTTTACTGCTCACTGTTCAAAGGTTCATTTGAGTGACGAAGCTAAAGCAGTGAATTCCTTATATTAATAACGGGGTTATGGGGTTAAATTAATTTATAATTCTAGTGAATCTAATTAAACCAGTGACGGATCAACCAGCGATGTCTATTTTCGGCAAATGGAAAAATAATGGTCGTATTTTGCTCTTTGAGGCAACTAATTAGCTGTGGGCATTCTAATTAAATTGATAAGTGTGCTCTCTACGCTCTGTGTATTGTGAATTGTTCCAACGTATGAATGGACGGCATCCTGAAACCTTGGTGAATGCTACACTAGAGCTGCACTCTGTGACGAGAGGACCTTCTTGTGAAAGCAGTATGTGAACGTTTGCTGGTCACCGCCGTCACGTTAGAAAGAGCTTGATGCATCCAGTCACTCGTGTTGCTGCATCTTCGTTCGTGGTAAGGAGCAATGTCTCTCTGCAGCACAGCAAGTCAGAAACCCAGTGGGGCCGACATGTGCAACGCCAGATTTCGAAATAACAGGGGGAGAGCGTTGTGCTCTGTTATTAGGTTGATTACTGCTTTTAACAGCCAAATAGCAGTGAAAAGAGATACTGAGAATGACTGGTTTGGGATGATTGCAGAAGCAATCCGTATTCTCGCTGAGTCTCTTCAGAGCAGCACTGAAACTGAATGTGCGCTATAGATTTGAGTTAATCCATGTGATCGAAGAAAGTAAAGGGGAAAGCTCTTGATTTATTCCACAGGGGGGAGGGATGAAATTGGAAGGCAAAGGACATTGTGACCTACGAAAAAAGAGAAAAGTACGATGCTCTAGTGACAGTAATGCACTTGTTCCCGTGTGACGTGTGTAGGTGCACTTGGAAAGTAACTAAATGCATTTAATTAAAATTTACATTTCATTCTGATTTATAGTTCTACTTCCCGACATTTCAGAGGGAAATGTAGCTTTTATCCCACTTTCACAGCTGACTTGTCATTTCCTAATACAGAACCGTCAGTCAGTAGAACATTAAAGTTCTGCTTTGGAATTTTTCTACATTTTTTTCTACAGCTACAT